ACGTTATCCAGAGTTATTTGACTAAGGTAAAATATTAGTTACGAGGACGTAACCTCTCTTTAAGGGGGTAGAATGTAATACTTAAGAATTTGAGTACTTAGATTAAGTTAATGTTTCGGGACGAAACATCTTTTAAGGAGGGTAGAATGTGACACTTCAAAAATTTAAACAAAAATTTTTTTTTATCAGATAAAATATTACGAAAATAACATTTTAATTATTAACTGAGTCAGACAAAAATTCAACAGTTGTAACATTCTAATCAGATAAAAATTTCCAAGTTTACGACTTTTTAATCAGATAAAAATGGCCCGATAATAGAAGTTATGTTTTAGTATAAAATTAACTTTTATATATATATCTATTTTAAATTAAGTATAATAATACACAAATACAATAATATAATAAATAAAATATAATAGAAACCTACTCCTAATAAAATTAAACTAAACTACCTACGTGCAAACCAATTTAAATATAAACTCTAACATCCAAACCAATTTGAACTACACAAACGAATATGAACTCCTACTTCAATAAGTATATTACTCCCGGTAGGATTTTGGCCGGCAACTTCAAAAAACGAAATTGATTAAACTCCAACTCCAACTCTAACATCTCAGCCTAAAACCCTCATCTTTCCCTATAAATAATAGGCCAGAGCCTGCGTTTTCTTCATCCCAAAAAAACTAAGAAATATACAAATATACGTATATATATATATTTTTGCGACCCAGCGTTTTAGCCAGAAACAAGCCTTGAAAATACTTCTCAAACCTTCCCCTTCGTGATACGAATCCAACGGAAAAAGAATCGTCGAAAACGGTCGTGAAACGAGGGAGAAAAGCCTCGCCGGAGTTTCGCCGGGGAAAAACATTTCGACGGAAAACGGAGAAGAGGGAGGAGCTGCCGCCGCCCACCACCACCACTACTACTACTACTACTACTACTACTACTACTACTACTACTACTACTACTACTACTACTACTACTACTACTACTACTACTACTACTACTACTACTACTACTACTACTACTACTACTACTACTACTACTACTACTACTACTACTACTACTACTACTACTACTACTACTACTACTACTACTACTACTACTACTACTACTACTACTACTACTACTACTACTACTACTACTACTACTACTACTACTACTACTACTACTACTACTACTACTACTACTACTACTACTACTACTACTACTACTACTACTACTACTACTACTACTACTACTACTACTACTACTACTACTACTACTACTACTACTACTACTACTACTACTACTACTACTACTACTACTACTACTACTACTACTACTACTACTACTACTACTACTACTACTACTACTACTACTACTACTACTACTACTACTACTACTACTACTACTACTACTACTACTACTACTACTACTACTACTACTACTACTACTACTACTACTACTACTACTACTACTACTACTACTACTACTACTACTACTACTACTACTACTACTACTACTACTACTACTACTACTACTACTACTACTACTACTACTACTACTACTACTACTACTACTACTACTACTACTACTACTACTACTACTACTACTACTACTACTACTACTACTACTACTACTACTACTACTACTACTACTACTACTACTACTACTACTACTACTACTACTACTACTACTACTACTACTACTACTACTACTACTACTACTACTACTACTACTACTACTACTACTACTACTACTACTACTACTACTACTACTACTACTACTACTACTACTACTACTACTACTACTACTACTACTACTACTACTACTACTACTACTACTACTACTACTACTACTACTACTACTACTACTACTACTACTACTACTACTACTACTACTACTACTACTACTACTACTACTACTACTACTACTACTACTACTACTACTACTACTACTACTACTACTACTACTACTACTACTACTACTACTACTACTACTACTACTACTACTACTACTACTACTACTACTACTACTACTACTACTACTACTACTACTACTACTACTACTACTACTACTACTACTACTACTACTACTACTACTACTACTACTACTACTACTACTACTACTACTACTACTACTACTACTACTACTACTACTACTACTACTACTACTACTACTACTACTACTACTACTACTACTACTACTACTACTACTACTACTACTACTACTACTACTACTACTACTACTACTACTACTACTACTACTACTACTACTACTACTACTACTACTACTACTACTACTACTACTACTACTACTACTACTACTACTACTACTACTACTACTACTACTACTACTACTACTACTACTACTACTACTACTACTACTACTACTACTACTACTACTACTACTACTACTACTACTACTACTACTACTACTACTACTACTACTACTACTACTACTACTACTACTACTACTACTACTACTACTACTACTACTACTACTACTACTACTACTACTACTACTACTACTACTACTACTACTACTACTACTACTACTACTACTACTACTACTACTACTACTACTACTACTACTACTACTACTACTACTACTACTACTACTACTACTACTACTACTACTACTACTACTACTACTACTACTACTACTACTACTACTACTACTACTACTACTACTACTACTACTACTACTACTACTACTACTACTACTACTACTACTACTACTACTACTACTACTACTACTACTACTACTACTACTACTACTACTACTACTACTACTACTACTACTACTACTACTACTACTACTACTACTACTACTACTACTACTACTACTACTACTACTACTACTACTACTACTACTACTACTACTACTACTACTACTACTACTACTACTACTACTACTACTACTACTACTACTACTACTACTACTACTACTACTACTACTACTACTACTACTACTACTACTACTACTACTACTACTACTACTACTACTACTACTACTACTACTACTACTACTACTACTACTACTACTACTACTACTACTACTACTACTACTACTACTACTACTACTACTACTACTACTACTACTACTACTACTACTACTACTACTACTACTACTACTACTACTACTACTACTACTACTACTACTACTACTACTACTACTACTACTACTACTACTACTACTACTACTACTACTACTACTACTACTACTACTACTACTACTACTACTACTACTACTACTACTACTACTACTACTACTACTACTACTACTACTACTACTACTACTACTACTACTACTACTACTACTACTACTACTACTACTACTACTACTACTACTACTACTACTACTACTACTACTACTACTACTACTACTACTACTACTACTACTACTACTACTACTACTACTACTACTACTACTACTACTACTACTACTACTACTACTACTACTACTACTACTACTACTACTACTACTACTACTACTACTACTACTACTACTACTACTACTACTACTACTACTACTACTACTACTACTACTACTACTACTACTACTACTACTACTACTACTACTACTACTACTACTACTACTACTACTACTACTACTACTACTACTACTACTACTACTACTACTACTACTACTACTACTACTACTACTACTACTACTACTACTACTACTACTACTACTACTACTACTACTACTACTACTACTACTACTACTACTACTACTACTACTACTACTACTACTACTACTACTACTACTACTACTACTACTACTACTACTACTACTACTACTACTACTACTACTACTACTACTACTACTACTACTACTACTACTACTACTACTACTACTACTACTACTACTACTACTACTACTACTACTACTACTACTACTACTACTACTACTACTACTACTACTACTACTACTACTACTACTACTACTACTACTACTACTACTACTACTACTACTACTACTACTACTACTACTACTACTACTACTACTACTACTACTACTACTACTACTACTACTACTACTACTACTACTACTACTACTACTACTACTACTACTACTACTACTACTACTACTACTACTACTACTACTACTACTACTACTACTACTACTACTACTACTACTACTACTACTACTACTACTACTACTACTACTACTACTACTACTACTACTACTACTACTACTACTACTACTACTACTACTACTACTACTACTACTACTACTACTACTACTACTACTACTACTACTACTACTACTACTACTACTACTACTACTACTACTACTACTACTACTACTACTACTACTACTACTACTACTACTACTACTACTACTACTACTACTACTACTACTACTACTACTACTACTATTAATTCATTCATAGTACGGAAATAGTACTATGAAAGAATTAAAAATTCACGAGAATCCATAATTTTAGAAGTTAATAAGAATGAACGAAAGTTTAAATACGCCTACCTTTTATTATAGACTTTTAAAGTCTACATCGAATACAACTAAATTTTTGTAGACTTTTAAAAGTCCACATTAAGTATACATAAACTTTTAAAATCCACGAACTCATAAAAATTTGCCACTAATTCCTAATAGAATATACGCCTTAGACTCATTTATAATACTCTTTCCGTCCCTTATAACTTTGCCAACTTTCTTTTTTCGGATGTCTCATTAACTTTGCCACTTTCCTTTTTAAGTAAAGAATCTGTGGTTTCTGTTAATTCTCTCCTCTCTGCACAAACTTCAACCACACAATTTTTATTTCATTAATATCCGTGCCGATCAAACTTGGCAAAGTTATTAGGGAGTAATTATATATAACCAAGTCAAATATGAAAAGTAAAAACACCACCGGCGGCAACCCCTGACTAAACTTTATTAGTTAGACTTTATTAGTGGCTCTAAATAAAAAATTTAAATACAATTTAATTTTTTTTGCAGAAACTTTTATACAAATGCTCGGTACAAATTATTCCCTCCCTCAATTTTTAGTTTCCCCCCAAAACTAGCCTCATCCCCCCAAAAGCTAAAGCTTCCTCTTTTCCGATCTGAACAAAAAACCTGCTGCTATATCCTTGAGGATTTCACCCAATTCAGTCTAACCCTATTAATCTTCCTTACATCCTGAGCCGCCGAGTAGTTGCTCGTATAGTGGCAGCTCGCTTCTCCAGTCCGACCATCCTCCTCCTCCTCCTGGCAAGTCCCGAGTTCATTCGCCGTCGCCACGCAGTCGATCTAGCCTCCAGCCTCGCGAATTTCTATCATGACTCGTTCCAGGCTCTAGCCTCGCGAGTTCCAATCGTTCCAGCCAGCAGTTCGTATGTATTCCCTGCTTGGGAGTCGGGAAAAGTAAGTTTTCAGAAACTTTGCTGCTAGTAAGACACATTTTCCAGCTATTTCTGTTAATAAGAACATGAAACTATAAAGTGAGAATTTTAAAACTGATCTAGAGAGCATGATACCATTTAAACAAAGATTCCTCTCTTATCTCTTAAAGGCACAGTCGGGCATCTGTTTCACGCAAACGGCAAACTACCGCCGCAGCCCGCACTCCAGCAGCACGCAATGACGCAAACGGCATCACCGCATCAGTAATCGCCGATTCGCCTGACTCTCGCCTTCTCTTCGCCGACTAGCCGGAGATGCACGTCACGCACCCTGCTTTTCCTCATTACTGATGCAAACGGCATCAGTAAATCAGTAATCGCCTTCTGCTTTTCCTCTCTTCAAGGTGGCTGTTCCTGCTTCAGCCTTCAAGGAGAGCCGCAGCCCGCAGAGCCGCAGAGGTAACAGTTTCTTACTTTCTTACTTTCTTTATTATTTGTTTTTACAATTTTTAGATTAATTTGGGTTTTTATTTCTTAAATTAGTTTGTGTTAGTGATAAGTGTGTCACAATTGATTTGTGTAATTCTGTGCTTTGAATCGTGAAATAGAAAGTTAGGAATGTGTAATGTTATTTGTGATTTTTTTGAAAATATTAATATGAATTAAAATAAAGTATTGATTAGTATTTTATTTTTTTGGTAATTTTAGTAGGTATGACTACTCGATCTACTTACAAAAAGGCAAAAATCACGTTGCGTTCGTTTTATAAGCCTAGTACAATCACACAAAGTAGACAAGAGTTAAATGTCCCAATTGAAACTCCTAATTACCTAATATCTCATCCGCTCAAGGGTGTAACAAAAAGAATAATTTTCCGTTATTTATTTTATTTTATTTGTTTAATTGTCTTCCAGTTTAGGTCAGTCGAGGCTTTTAGTTATTGTTGAAAATTATAGGATATTGTGGACTTGATTTTGGATAGAGAGGCTACATAAATTATGCTGTTAGGAAACCATAGTAGTCGTATGTTCTCTTTGATGATAAAATGGTCAGTAGATGCGGAATGTAAAGTTGGAGTCCCAGCTGCTCTCCTATTTCCTTAATTTGTGTAGTAATAGTACTAATAGTTTTCTAATTTCTGTAATATGGATTGCTCGTTTTCTCTTGATTCAGCACCAAGTATTTTATCTTTAACTGTTCTGGTTTATGGTTTGCTGGAAAGTATCTTAGCTCTTGTACTGAATAATTTCCAACAACCTGCCCCAAATTTCTCTACTTTACCCATCAAATTTCCAACAAGCTTAATAATATATCCTTAAATTCTACACAATTTTAATTCCTTCCGTAAATTTGTTTTGTTTTCCGCCATCTAACTCTACTGAATATTCTCAAAATCCTCTCTTCACCACATCAATCTTATCCTCCACTTTTATCACAAAATAACCATCTTGAACTTCTGCGTACCTTCTTCAGATAAAAAAATGAAGGCTCCTGTATGACCGTAAGTCCGTAACTCTCTCCCTCCACCCTCCCTTTCTCCAGTACTCAGAAGGTCCTGCTTGACTTCAATCTCCCCTCACTATCTCTCACCATAGTTTGATATCAGATTCGTTCGCATGATCACCCAAAACCTTGATTATGTTGTATGCACATTTTATTATATTTGTATTATAAAAGTATAAAAGATATGTGGGATTTCTAGTCTGATGTTATTTCATTGCATGCAACTTGATAGGATACAGAATATGCCAGATCTTTTGTGTGGATATTGATTTATATTATTCAAATAATACAACGGCCAGCTGCTATTTTGTTTGTTCGAATTAATCTATGTGTAAATATTCCACAAACTAAATCCAGATGTTGAATGAAAAATCATCAAAATGCCTATTATAAAACACCATGCGTTTGACATGAGCATTCTATATAAGCATTATATAAAATGTAAATACATTCTTCTTTATATTCGTAAAAATGAACTTGTAAAATGTAAAATCATCAAAATGCCTATTGTAAAACAACATACGTAAGGTGAAGGCGAAGGAGAGTGGCAGTGCTACTTAGATGCTTAAGGAGAAGGGCATAGCTATAACATGAGGGTTCCTCAGCGTTGTTCATAAAATCATATTATTGCTTCTGAGAGACCTTGTCATGGTCATCATTCATCATCATTATACTAGTGCCGCAAAGGCTCCCACCTATGGTGGGGTAGGGGGGGATCGGATATACGTAATCTTATCCCTGCACTAAAGCACATGGGTATATAAAGTGTGTGCGTGTGTGTATAGATGAGTTTATACACACACACACAAACTCTGTACAATATATCCCTAGGATATTCTTGCAATTTTGCTTGGTGTGCTACCTTAGAAGTTTGATAATGGCATAGATAAGAGATAAGGTTCTTTGGTGGTGTTTATTTAGCAAAATTTACTACATACTATTTATAGAGAAGTCAATGCTGTGTTCAAACAATTGTATTTATGATGACATAACATCAGTCTCTAGCACATGGCTCAAGGGAGGTGTTGGCTGTGCGAGATTCTTCAGAATGAGCTTTTCCAGTTTTAAACTATAATATTATTAAAAGAGTTTTAATGGGATTAATCTGTACAGTGAGATGTATCTGTTGCTGTGGTGCACCTCTTTTGGCGGGAATATTGTTGCAATTTCCTTTTACTTTATATAGTAATAGATGTCTTCAGTTTGTTACATATTAGGAGTATATATTACTCATACATTAAATATCTTAGTTTTAGTTTTTAATATTATTCTTACATCAATGAATCTTCATCTTTTTGTCAGATTTTTGTTAATTTCCAGGCATAAGAAAATCTTATGCAGAGATGCCTGACGATTACACACATACATAGAAGATCTGCACGAAGAACAAACAAATAATGGTGAGAGAGCACAACATTGAATCATTTTACACCAGGTTGCGCAATTCTGCTTTGGCCTCTGCTTCTTCAACCCCTCTATTAGTGTTCCCCTCCACCTCAGATGTTGATTCACTTTGTGCTCTAAAAATCATAGGCCATGTGCTTGAATTAGATTCAGTCAGATATGCTTGTTATCCTGTGTCAAGTTTTAAAGAGATCCATAAGTACACTGGGAGTGATCTGGGAGGTTCAACTTCAGCTGAACCAATCACTATATTGTTGATAAACTGGGGATGCCAAAGGGATCTCCGGAAGATTTTGGACATTGGTCCTTTGACTCGAGTCTTTGTTGTTGATAGTCACAGGCCCATCCATTTGCACAATTTATGCAATGAGAATGACAGGGTAATTATTCTCTACACTAGGGATGATGAACAACAGACAGATTTATCTTATGATTTTGATGTTTCAGCTTTGGCCAATGCAAGTGATTTGAACAGTGATGATGAATTTGAAGATGACTCTGAAAGTGAGAGTGAAGAAGAAGATGATGACGAAGATGATGATGATGTGGAAGGAACTCAGAAGAAGAAGAGGAGGGTTTCTGGAGAAAAAGAAGGGGGTGATGATCCTGTTAAGCTTTTCAAGAAACTGAAAAAAGAATACTATTACATGGGCACGTTCCATGGTAAACCATCTGGATGCTTAATGTACGAACTCTCTCATTTCTTAAGAAGAAACACAAACGAGATGCTTTGGTTAGCATGTGTTTCTTTGACTGATCAGTTTGTTCATGAGAGGCTTACGGATGAGAGATACCAAGCTGGCGTTATGGAACTTGAGCAACATGTCAACAGCTCCGGAAACTTAGACTCCTCTGTTACCTCTGTCACCTTAAAAGATGGAACTAAGGTATCAGCCCCAGATTCGTCTAGAATTTCATATGACGATGAGCCAAGGCTAATGTTGTTACAGGAGTGGAATCTTTTTGACTCAATGCTCTGTTCGTCCTACATTGCTACCAAACTGAAGACTTGGAGTGACAATGGTATTAAAAAGATGCAACTCCTTTTGGGGCGGATGGGGTTCGCCCGTGACGAGTGTAAACAGAAATTTGAGTATATGAGTGTGGAGATCAAGAGGAGGATGAAGGACATGTTTGTCCAGTATTTACCTGAATTTGGACTAACTGACTTCTACTACCGTGGGTTTTTGTTATTGCATGGGTACAGTTCAAAACTCTCTGCTGCTGATGTCGTCTACGGAGTCACTGCCCTTTTAGAAGGTTCCAGTGCTTCCAGACAGTTTGGGGAGGCTTACGACGCGCTTTCGGTAAATAATCTCGATAAGCTGGAAAACGGGATGAGGAAAGCGATTAGGGTTCAAAGGGCGATTCTTAGACAAGGAAGTGCAGCGATAACCAAGAAAGGGTCCATACGGAGTGGGAGTAAGTTCAGGTGGGTCAAACTTGAGGATTCAGCAGACACATCACTCTTATGTCACCCTCAAGCGTTAACCAAATTTGGGTATTTCCTCATGGACGCGTTGCGTGAGAAGGGAGCTAGGATGAAGCCATTGATATGTGTTTGTTACAATCAAGAAAAGGAGAAGGTTTTGATTGTAGCTGTGTGTGGTAAGCCGCGGCTTGGGGCAGTTCAAGGAAATGGGTTCGGGATTGCTTTTAGGGGTGCGGCAGAGGAGACAGGGGCCGAGTTCTTCCACGAACTGTTTGAGTCGTCGTGGATAGTGTTGGATGCAATTGCAGTGAATTCATTTATGATCAGGCTTACAGAGAAGCTGTGGTGATGGTTATTAGAAAAACAGCCTTTGGAGTTTTAGGTTTCTTATTGTGGTTGCATCAGCTTGAAAGGTGAATAAGATGGATGTGCATGTCTGTATGTTTTACTCTTATAATTATCTTTATTCTTATTATCTTGTTGTAGTGTACCGTTAGCCAAGAGTTTCTCAATTTCAGTTCTATAAGATGTCGTGATGAACTTTAACATTAATCAATACACTTCAGAATTCAGTGAATATGAGTTTTGATTTCTTTTCTTCTTGGGTCAGATAAACCCGTTTATTACTTGAGCGTTTATTGTTATTTTTTATGCTATTGGAACCCTTGAAATCTTGTTTAGCCAATTGTAATCCAACCGAATCCAAACAATCTATCAAAACAATGAATAACAATAATAATGACCTTAGTTTGAAGACGGTATGGACCCGGTCAGCCGGTCTAGTGGTCTGGTCAGGTTTGTAACAAGGTCCAATATTGTTTGAGACTGGATTGAGTCTGTTATTTCAATCTTGGTCTAAGCCTGGGTATTCGACCAGGTATATGGGGTACCCGTTCCCGATTAAGTTTGTTGAGACCTGGATAGGGTACTGGGCTGAGTCTCGAGCAATTCCAACGATCATTTTTTATAAGTTTCAAAGGTAGGGGTGGAAGTTTAAACATCCGAGAGATATTTAGGTCCATTATTTCGGTCTCTGAGGGATGTTTGATTGGGGAGATGTCTTGTTTGACGAATATATGACACAACTCTGGTTGCAATACCAAGTGTAGTTTCGAAATCAAGAAACCATTCTCGAGATTGACGAAGAATTGAAGGACACCAACGGTGAGAAGGAGCTCTCGATGGAGGACGAGCAAGAAAGCGGGGATACATGCGCTCAAGATTCATTTAATCCGCACTTTCAAAACTATAGCCTAAAACCAATTAAAAAAGAAGTTATTACACAATATAATTTGGAAAAACAAATTAATAACTACCCTCGATGAACTGGATATACTCCTCGATTGAATATTCGAAAGGAAGATAGTTAAAGATATAATCGGGATCGACGAACATTTCATTAAGTGGATAAAAGCAAAACCAAGACTAATTACCTTTGATATTTTATTTCACTCATTTAAGTATTTTATTTGCTTTCTCAATTATCAAAATATCCAATTCCCCCTTCCGTTTACTTTTATTTATTACGCTTACACATAACGCGAAAAGCTCCTTTCCCTGTGGATACGAACTCTACTACGCTATACTACGGTATTAGCCCTTAGTAGTGAATTTAATTTGAGGCACACTACGACAAAGTGTTCGTCAAATTTGGCGCCGTTGCCGGGGAAAGGATCCACTTTTTAACTGTGTGTTTGTGTAATTTCGTTTTTAAATTTCTTTTATGTTTTTTTCATTTACCTTGAATAAATTGAAAAGAGCGGGTACACACTTTGATCCTCTACTCCACCCCAAATCCATATTCCCAACTTAACTCCATTTGTGAGTGAGATGAAAAAATGAGGAGCTAGGATGAAACCCCGAAAAGGACTCCTAGGCAAAATGAGAGAAAACGAGATAAATTTTAATTTTTGTAGGAGAAAATTTTGTGTGTAAGTTCAAACAACAAGATACCGGATCGGGTACAGGCCATACTCGTTCAGGTGTTTTCAAAGAGCTTCTCGAAATATTCAAAGGAGGCTAGCACAAAAAGCTTAGCATGGGGGAGCATGAACAGATAAAACCTTGGGAGAAGAAACCGATTTTAAATGTGAGAAGAAACGTGAAACTCCTAAGCACTGAACTTAATCGAATTGCACTTTACTCGAGGACGAGTAAAAGATTAAGCATGGGGATATTTGATGCGTACTATTTAGAAGTACATAAACACCACAATTTAGAATGATATTACATTATGTTTACTTAGCTTTTGTACAATTATGGTGTAATCTTTATCTTCTAAAATTAAAGAAGAATTAGAAGATATTAAGATATTTTGACATGTAAGCAAAAACATGATGAAAAGAAGAGGAAGGAGCTTGGGAGCATAAGGAAGGAGCATTGGAGACAAGAGAAAACTTCATAGAGGACAAAGATGTGTGAAAAATCGGATATGATTCGACCCGGAGATCATAAGAGATCAAATAAAACAAGTGAACATGAGAAAATCAGATTATGTCTTAGACCCAATCACCTCACTTCTCCTATAAAAACACCTCTTTCCTTCCTATTTTAGATACCAATTTAATCCTCTCTTTCATATACACTTTATTCTTGTAATTTAGGTAGTCTTTCCATCTTGGTTTTGCTACTTTGAAGCTTAATGAATTGTAAGTTGTGAGTTATTTTCTTTAATCTTCTTCCTTGAATATTAATTTTTTCCATTAATACTATCTCTATATTAATGTTGGGGAATGTTACTAAGATGACAATTAGTTAACATCTCGACATTAGTTAGAGTAGTATTTATTTTCTTCCTCTATATTAATGTTGGGGAGTGTTACTAAAATGACAATTAGTTAACATCTTGACATTAGTTATAGTAGGATTTATATCTTCTTTAATATTCTTCCTTGAATATTAATTAATTCCTATTCATATTTCATTTTAATATTTTGAGCATTACTATAAGGATCAACTAGTTTTGTCTCATATATTAATTATTACTACAATCGATCGACGAATAAGCTTGTTAATCGTTCGATCTTTTCACGGTATGTAGTAAACTTGGATTATTAATGAATGCGTCTCATGGTTAATAATCTAAGGGGAATTAATTATATTGATTAAACCAATAAACCGCTTGTGTTGAGGTTATCGATTTCAATCATTTTCATCTTGAATTTATTGCTACTATCGAGTAAATATATGGCACATGTTCTATATTAATTCGGTAGTAAGTTTCATTAATGAACGCGTCTCGTTATTAATAACTACCCTCGATGAACTGGATATACTCCTCGATTGAGTATTCGAGAGGAAGATAGTTAAAGATATAACCGGGATCGACGAACATTTCATTAAGTGGATAAAAGCAAAACCAAGACTAATTACCTTTGATATTTTATTTCACTCATTTAAGTATTTTATTTGCTTTCTCAATTATCAAAATATCCAATTCCCCCTTCCGTTTACTTTTATTTATTACGCTTACACATACGCGAAAAGCTCCTTTTCTTGTGGATACGAACTCTACTACGCTATACTACGGTATTAGCCCTTAGTAGTGAATTTAATTTGAGGCACACTACGACAAAGTGCTCGTCAGTGACACAAGATATATCATGGTTCAAAGGTGGTGTAATTCTGCTACATCCAGTCCCACCATCTTTCAGATTGATTTCCACTAAATCAATTACCCATTACATTTAGTGCTTAATCTTTTTGGCCGCAAACATAGATTGTGATGTTTTTCATAAGGAATTTGAACACCATTCCAAGATACTCAGTCCTCCAAGGTTTTTCACTAATGGCATTAACGAGCCAGAAGTTACTCATGTCCTTGATCTTCACATACCTTCTGGATTTGATCACAAAGCCTTCTAGAGTTTACAAACTAGTCTAGTTTACAATAGTAAAGCTAAATTACCAACTAACTAAGCTCTAAAGATGTATATGAATATGAACTATTCTAAGAGCTTAAATGAGTGGGGTGAGAAATAAGAGGATGAGTGATGATCAACATTGTGCTCCTTTGCTGGATGTGTCATATGGACTCTTTTTCCTTCTTAGCTCCACACTTAGTTCTCACGCAGTCCTTCTGTATTTAAAGATTTAGTTGTTGAAGGTCTTCCATTGGCTGAAGAGATTCAACCTCGACCGTTGGTTGATCCACTTGACTGAAAGGCATCATGGTTGAGTTTTGTCTTCTTGTGGCACGGGTTGCAACTTTGTCCAACTTGTATTCCTCATTTCAAAGAAATTGGCTTAAGATAAAATTTTACTTTAGCCGTAGAGTTGAGTGTATAAGCTGGATGTTTGTTCAATGCTCCCTTAGTTTATAAATCCCTTGCTTTCAGTAAAAATAAATAAATAATGTTATAAGAAATTTTTATGAGGTGGTAAAAGTTTTCTTATAAAATTACATTTTGTCTTTGTCTTTTATTTGACTTCAAGTTAATCTTTTGATTTATTGTTTATGCTGTAGAGCTAGTCGCGGTTCTAGGTTACGAAAGATATCAATTAAAATATTCAAACACAAATTAAACGACATTCATGCAATTAATCCATCAAGAAACTAGTCATACATCGCGATTAACCCCTTCATCAATCCCAAATCCCTAATTAAAACTACTCCCGACTCATAATTGAAGAATCAATAGAATTAGGAAATTAGAAATAATTGTCATTAATTAAAAAGAAAGAACTTACAAAGAATCTCTAAGAATTGAAAAACAAGGCTGAAAAGCTCTCAAAATTTATCCTTAGGCTCCTTTCTAAAATTCCACCCCCCTCAAACAGGTACTCCCTCCATCCTGCTAGCAATGGGACAATAGAGATTTACATGCAAATTAATAAAAAGTGGTTTATGTGATTGATATTGAATAGATAAAGTAAGAATAAAGTAAGAATGATTTAGAGCCACACAAACTTTACCAAATTTGGTACGAGACAATCTTAGTGGAACGGATCGATAAGGTAAAATGAGACAATCATAGCGGGACGGAGGTAGTAAATGACAACCTTATTTATAGGAAACAACGAATTCGGGTTGAATTAGGATTGAAACGGGGAACGCACAGCGTGCGTGGCGTCCGTGCGCCCGACAGACCTGCACGTCAAAACGTGCCACGCACGCCTGCGTCCCCCCACGCACGGCCGTGCATGGCTGTCAGTGGGTTTTCCAGCTTTCCGTCTCGGACGCACGGCGTGCGTACCCGGACACACGACTGTGCGTACGTCTTTAAAATTCTTGGCCACTACTGCCACGCACGCATGCGTGCGTCCCTATACGCACGGCCGTGCGTGTCCCTTTTTCTTCCAATTTCTTCGATTTCTTCCACTTCAAGTCCCCGTTAGCCCCGCGATCAATCCAAAAGCTCTTTCTTCATCAAATCTTCATCGTAAACCTCCCGGTGGCCTTCGAAACTCTGAATTCACTCTCGAATGTTTCTTAACTCATCTCGATCACTTCTCAAGCGCCGATACTGGGCCCTAAAAGACCTGATTTCAACTCTAAAAATACCAAAGCTCGATCCATCACCCTGCTAACGTGACTTGAGCTAAAATTGAGACTTACAACCCTTAAAGCTAGGGAAAACCGTCAAAAGCCGATCCCAACA